GAGCAGATTTCCTGTTTAACATTCATTTTACTACTTTATGCATACAAGAACTGGGCCACAGTGTGCGGGTTAACCGGATTCCCCAAAGACAACTGGGAGCAAACACAGAAGACAGGACTCCTGCACCCTGTGGATCAGCTGCTCCCTGGCTGGGAAGCAAAATTATGTCTCAGTGGTTGGTGTGAGCTTGAAAGTGTTGAGACTTTAATCCCTGTGCCACTGGGGAGCCCTCCACCCCAAAGATTTTAGTCAAATTCACCCTCTGAAACATTGAACAGTATCCAGAATCTTTACAAGATGTGATTTACAACGACCAAACAAGGTATAATTTTGAGTCCTGGTCATGTATGGAAAAAGAAAAAGAACAAACAACAAAACAGCAGCAAAACAAAAGATGTGTGATCCTGCAAGTACCAGATGAGAAAACCAGCACAATTATGTAACAGCTACAAAGGAAACTAAGAAAACATCTAAGAGCATAAAATATGCTAAGGGGATTGACTGGGAGACTAAAGGAACCCAGAAAACCAACCAAATGAACATGGGAGATTAGAAATTAAACTATCAACATAAAAAATTTCCTGCTGGGCTCAACATCAGATTTAATACAGCGAAAGAAAATCACTGAAGCTGATGGTAACCATCTTCTTCATGAAAAAGAAAAATATGCAGGAGAATGGAAAGATTCTCAGAAATGCGCCAGGCCGAAGGGCTCACACTAACGACCGGAGTTCAAGACGAAAGGAGAAGAAGACACGAAGTAAGGGTTTTCACACAGTCCCTAAAACTTAGCCTAATTTATTTGAGTAATTTACTAAGCGAAGAAACTAAATGATGTACAATCAAGTCAGAGCAAAGAAAACGAGTCCAGGCACTTCAGAAATAGCCACTGTGCAGAGAAGACGAGAACTTGAGAGGAGCCAGAGAGCAGTCAGCAGGTGACCCGACCACAGGGGGCCGAGGGGAGGCTTCTCCTGAGAAGGGGAAGATGTCCTGAAATGCTGAAACATCCCTCAACCACCTTCATTTCCCTAAGACTAAATGGACAAGGAAGCAGTAAAGACATTTCACACAGACAGATGCCAAGACAACGTCGCAGCAGCAGACCCCAGTTCACAGCGCCAGGGGGCGCCCTGCTTGAGATGAGACTAATCTGGGCATCTAGGAATCCCAATCTGGCGGTTTGAGTCATGGGCTGAATCGGTTCTAGTTCCACACGTGAGGGCAGAGCGCAGGATGAGGCGACCATTTGCATGCAGGCGCATCTGGACAGCTACAGGACCCCATTCAAGTGGGAGCTGAGCCCGTGGCACTGGGGATGGGCAGGAGGTCCAGGCTCAAGTGTAAGTGGCAGAACTGTCTGGCACAGTTGACTGACTGAGTCAGGAAACTCCAGACTGAAGAAAGGGGACTA